ATTGCCCTCAATGCGCTGTATCGGCCTGGTCCCATGGATTTGATACCCAGCTTTATTGCGCGTAAACATGGACGCGAAGTTGTGGAGTATCCCCATCCCTTGGTGCGTAGTGTGCTGGAAGAAACGTATGGCATTATGGTTTACCAAGAGCAAGTCATGCAAACCGCGCAAATTTTGGGCGGCTACTCTCTTGGCGGTGCGGACTTGTTGCGCCGTGCGATGGGCAAGAAAAAACCCGAAGAAATGGCCGAGCACCGCGAATTATTTCGTGCAGGTGCGACCAAGCAAGGAATTAACACCGAAAAAGCTGACGAAATTTTTGATTTGATGGAAAAATTTGCTGGCTACGGTTTTAACAAATCGCACGNCCGCTGCCTACTCAGTATTGGCCTATCATACTGCTTGGTTAAAAGTTCACCATAGCGCTGAATTTTTTGCCGCCAACATGACCGTAGAAATGGGCAACACGGATAAACTCAAAGTCTTGGTTGCTGATGCCAAGGCTATGGGCTTGGAGTTTGAGCTACCCGATATTAACCGTGGCGAATACGCTTTTACACCAGTAACGGATAAGCTTATTCGCTATGGTCTGGGCGCTATCAAAGGAACTGGCCAGCAAGCCATAGAAGCCATAGTACAAGCACGCAAGCAAAACGATGGCGAGCAAGCATTTAGCAGCTTATTTGACTTTTGTGCGCGCGTAGACCGCAGCAAAATCAATAAACGCACAGTAGATGCGCTCATAAAAGCTGGTGCGTTTGATAGTCTACACAGGGACCGAGCAGCACTACTGGCATCGGTAGATTTGGCGTTTGACTACGCGGCCAATTTGGATGCTCACACTGACCAAATTGGCTTATTTGACGCACTGGCGGATACGCATGGCTCCAGCAGCCAAGAGCCCAGCTTGCTCGCAGCCAATAGCTGGGGTGTGAGAGAGCGACTCTTGCAAGAAAAAAGTGCTTTGGGGTTTTTTCTCTCAGGCCATTTGTTTGACGAATACACCAGCGAAGTTCGCCAATTTGCAAAGCTAACTTTAGCCCAGCTTCAAGAAAGCAAAGAGCCGCAATTGGTTTGCGGGATTGTGGCAGACATGCGGGTTATCAACGGGCAACGTGGAAAGCTGGTGTTGTTTAATCTAGATGATCGCTCTGCCGTCATAGAGGCCACGCTGGAGGAATCCCTATGGCAGGCCCAGCGCGATTGGCTGGCAGACGATGTTTTTATCGTTGCAATGGCGCGTTATCAGCCCGATAGATTCTCAGGCGGCCACCGCCTTTCTATACAACAACTCTGGAGTTTGCCAGCTGCGCGCTGCCGGTTTGGCAAATACTTGCATCTTAGGATTAAGCAGTCTGGGCGCAAGCCCGATATTCACCGCATTCTTCGTGAATTTCCTGCCCAAATGGAAAATACCGAACACGGCTCCTTGCGGCGAGGATTAGGTGTTAAATTGAGCTTTTATGTTCCCAGCTCTGCGGTAGGAAGTATTCAAGCAAGAATAGACTTGCCAGACGATTGCCTTTTCTACCCTAGCGATGCTGCATTATCCAGTTGGTCGGCCCAGGCACAAAACATAAACGATGTTGCCATAGTTTATAGCGATTGACATAGCGGGTATCTTGAGGTCTAATAATCTGCATCAGGTGCAAACTTGCCTTGTAGCGTTTTTTGAACCAGATTTTTGCTTAAACGATCACTTAACAATTCGGTGAAATCGTAAACAAAATTGCGCAAATATGCGCCACGCTTGAAAGCCACTCGCGCCAAATTCTGGCCAAACAATTCCCCAGCTGGTACGACATGCAAGTCAGCATCCGTGGTTTGCAGCTGCGTAGGGTCTAGCGCCACCTCGGCCACAATTCCGATGCCCAAACCCGTGCGCACATAGGTTTTAATCACATCAGAGTCTATGGCTTCCAGCACGATTTTAGGTACGCGTTTTTTTTGGGCAAACGCTAAGTCAATTTTGCTGCGACCCGCAAAAGATGGATGGTAAGTGACCAGAGGTTCCATGGCAAGATCTTCAAGATGTATGGTCTGCTTTTGCGCCAATGCATGGGTTTTGGGCATGATAAGCATATGCTGCCATTCATAAAAAGGCAAGCTCACGAGATTGTCATTATCTTGTAGCGACTCTGTGGCTATACCAATGTCTGCCACTTCGTCTTGTAGCATCTGGGCGACTTCGCTGGGTGAACCTTGGTGCAACGAGATAGTGACATGGGGATAGCGCTCGCGCAATTTGCTAATCGGCCCAGGTAGCACATAGCGCGCCTGGGTATGCGTAGTGGCAATGGAGAGTGTTCCTGTGTCTTGGTTTCCGTAGTTTTGTGCTATGCGCTTAAGATTGCCAATTTCCACCATAATGCGGTCTATACACTCTACCACGGCAGTGCCTGGCTCAGTCACTCGCTTTATGCGCTTGCCATGTCTGGCAAATATCTCTATACCCAGCTCTTCTTCCAGTTCTATGATGGCTTTGGAAACTCCTGGCTGAGAGGTATGCAATGCTTTTGCGGCTTCGGTGAGATTGAGCTTTTGGCGTACGGCTTCTTGCACAAAACGAAATTGGTGTAGATTCATGGTTGTTGCATACTCATCAATTAATTGTGGCTGTTGGCTTTTGGCTATTTATAAGTGTTTCAATAGAAGTTTCATTTCCGAGTACTATTATTTTCTATTTTGTATCAAGTGGCAACTGCGCAATTTGCCTATACACCAATTCTGGCAGCTCAGTATACAAGCCCAGGGGCTGTAAAAGCCAAAAATGCAATTTTGGGATTTTTTCTTGCACATGCGCTATGAGGTTGGGTATGTCTTTGCGCAAATGGCTACCCATCCCAACAAACATCGGTGCCAAGGCAATGCGATGGATTCCTTGTGCGCTCAATAGCTCACATGCTTGCATCAAATCGGGCTGCGTGTGTTCAAGAAAAGCGCATAAAGTAGGCATGGGATTGTGTCGTGTGGATAGTGTGGTTGCAATTTGCTGCAAATACTGTGGCCAGTCTGCATCTCTTGACCCATGTCCGAGCAATACAATAGCCTGCACACCAGTTGGCGCTTCACCCATTAAAGGATGCGTTGATGAAGTAGAGGCCACACTCATTTTCTTGCATTAGTGCCTGAAAACGCGCCAAAACAGCAAGCCCAATGCCAATAAACAATAAATTAAGCTCGGCGCTGCCGCAGTAAACCAAGGGCTCCAATTATTGATGTTGCCAAAATAGTAAAAGATACTATCGGTAATAAAAAAGCTAATGCCTATCATAATTCCAGCAAAAATAAAGCCCGTAGATGAATGGTTGCGCAACTGCAAATAGCCAAAGGGTAGTGCCAACATGAGCATTACCACGCAACTTAAGGGATAGAATATTTTGCGCCAAAATTCAATTTCGTAGCGCTGCGCATCTTGGGCGTTAGAGTCCAAATGGCGTATATATTTAAACAAAGACCATGTATCCATCCTATCGGGTTGCAGGAGCGCTACTGAGACCATTTGCGCATCTATTTCAGTAGGCCAATGAAAATCTTGCAATTGTCTAACTTCCATTTTGGGCGCCTCCCCTTGTGTGCGCAGTTTTGGAATGTAATAATCGTAGCGCTGCACATTTTGTAAACTCCAGCCTGAGCCCTCTACTTTGCCTGACTGTGCAAATGTGTTGGATAAAACAGTGCCCTGGGAGTCAAATTCAAGTATGCGGATATTGCGCAGCATCCCATCAGCATCCAGTGCGCCCACATTGACAGCAAAATTGCTGTAACGCTG